AACGAGGTTCCAAACACAAACGGAAAAAGGGGGAAATGCGCTTCAGTGTGGAATTACGAAAGTATTAAAGTCCACTTAGAGTTAAACGGACTTTAACCAGGCACTTTCGCAATTCGAGAATTAGTTGCAAAGATATTGAATAACACGCGGCGAAAGTCAGGATCCGCGAATTTAAACGTGAAGCACACGTGAGAATTGACTGAACTCTCGTGACACATTGAAGCCTAATTGGTCGACTGCGGAGAATTGATCGCGCAGCTTAGATCGTGTAGATCGCGTTTTCCGATCGGTACAGAGTCGAAGGCACGAGAAAACATGAGTGCTCGAGAAAGGATCAAAGCGTACGGATGCATAAAAGAACACGGAAATCTACCGCCGGCCGGCCGGTCATACACCCATATCGCTCGTGTAATAGAAAGAATAATATTCTCCAAGCCGTTTCTCGGATCTCCGTTATGTAACCGGTCGATGTAATGGACGTAGAATACGTATATAACGCTAATTATCTTTTTAAGAAGCCGTGTCGAGTTAGTAAACAGAGATGAGGAAGAGATCGAGAACGATGCAGTGACGGAGCGACGCTTATTATCCGAAAAAGGCGTGAACTCTTATTGAAATATCGCATAATGGTTTTGTATATAAGTTGCACATCTTCGAAAATAAAATCACTGTTCGTACTGCACGCATGCGGAAAAGAGAGAGGGAGAGAGAGAGAGAGAGAGGGGGGGAGAGAGACGGGGGAGAAACTTCGCGCAAACTATATTTTCACGAGCTTTTCAACTGACTCGTCGGTTACGTAATCATATCGCCGCTCAGTCCTGCAGATCTCATCGTTTTTAACCATTATGCAACAGACGACTGATACGCACGGCATAATTTTTCACTTATATATTCCGCGATGACGGACAAGCGCTGTCGGAGGGAAGCGGACGCGTTGGTCTTTGCGTCTTGAGCTCGTGCGTGTGTGCATAGGGAATGTTTTAAAATAATATAATAAATAATATAATAAATAAAATGATGAAAAAGAAAAACAATAAATATTTGTCTTACGAAGTTAAGATCAATTCTTCCTCAATAGCACGTATACTCGGTCACAGAGCGCTTTGCACTTTTTACTGAAGTAAGTTGCAGTGCTTTAAGTTGTCACAGTCAAAAACCACTGCTGCTATGCATCGTGCATACGAAATAATCGGTTATAACAGAAGCCGAAGTGGCAATACCGGGTGCGACGATAAATTTGAAGAAATTATATATTTCCAAATAATAAGTCTCTAATATTATTTTGAAGTAATTTTTATATTTTTTATAAAGCAAGATAAAATATGCGACACACAACGTGTTGAATGCATATCAGTAGCGGCTCTCAATTGTGACAACTTGAAGTGTAGTAACTCTCTTCATAAATGATAAAAAGTGTACAAATTGTTTCGCGATCAAGCACACATTGAAACACCTGTGTCTCCGTTTCGTCGTGTTGTTCAAAGTTTTAGTCGTTTATCTTTGTAAATCAAAATCACAAGAAGATACTAAAATTCCCCTCTATATAAAAAAGTGGAAAATCGATAAACAATATAAAATGATACGTATGAAAACAGACTTGTTATTCATTAGCTTACGTTAAAGAGAATTTAATTCACAGAATTAAATTCACTTCGGTTGTTTCGGAAGTCCTTTTAAAAATTGCCTCTCAACAGAGCCATATATTGACAAAAGATACTTGAAAATTCATTTGTGCGATATAAGATTTATTTACAGAAATAAACTTCATTTCGCAAAAGTAAGCTTTGCATCGCACAAGTCAACTTTCAGGCAAGTATATTTTTTTCAGCATGAACTTTCGAATAGCCTGATTATTTTATCTAATCGCCTTGAAATTTTCCGGGATATTTGTCGTGAAAATTCAATCCATTTGTTTGTATAACGCGGACAAATGTCCTCGTTGTAAACACATATACAGTTCGACGTCACCGAGAAGCGTCGAGAAGTATCGTGACTTGAAAACTTCACAAGAGAAACATATCCGTATCTTTGTTTTCTTCTCAAGAGAATTCCTTATCGGTTGTAATAGAAACAAGATATTAAACAAACCTACATAGATTGTCGAGTTGCACAATACTTTTTCGACGCATACTATCGCGATAAAACACTATTGGAAAGTACTGTTCCATCGGTAAGAGCAGAGCGTTCAGCAGGTGGTGGAACGAATCCAAAAAAAAGTATCATCAAAAAGAGAGATTCCAAGTTACGATACTCAGCACGGTCGGTGCTGTTTTTCCGGGATGAGAAAGGTTCGGTTAGACCGGCCTTCTCGGGCACAGTGCAGAATGCATACCTAACGACACGGAGGCGCGCATGCAGTTGCATGTGCATGCGTTTCGCAGATACATAACGTTACCTACCGGGTATGTGTACCTGCGTGTGTGTGTGTGTGTATAAATGCATTTCATGTGTGCGCGCCAACGATAAGAGCCGCGTCGCGACGCGCGACGCGTTATATCATCGTCTACGAACTGTGCGCGACGTGATATTGTGATATGTCGCCTTCTGTTCCTTCAGCCATTGAACCACTCGCTCGTTTCACCCGCCCGCCTCAATTACACGGGCCACAAATTGGAACGAACGATAAGCGGCTTCGAGGCGCGGGAGAACGGGCTCGAAAAATTCGATTATCGTATCTGCGCTCGTAGAACGCGCGGAGCACGCCGTGGAACGCCGCAGATCGCGGAAGCTCGTCGTGCGAGCTGCGTGCGTGCCTCGCTCGATCTTGCGCATTACGCGAACGAGGATCCGCGTGCGGAGAGCAGATCTCCGTGGAAGCTGGACTTCCCGCGCTTTCTTAGCCCGGGTAAACGTGCAACTGTGCCGGACAGAGGATCGTTCCCTTTCCCTCCACCCCGACGGTGCCGATTCGTGGAAAAGTCGAAACGAGTCTTTCGAAATCGTATGAGACAAGTGCATACTGAGAAAAAGAGATGCTTGGAAATTTACTTGTGAGATATAAAGTTTATTTCTGCGAAATAAGTTTTTATCCCGCAGATAAACCCTCAAGTCTTTTTCTCTCTCGGTATGCAATGGAGATACTTCGTAAACAACACGAAGAGGCGCGAGAGAGCAAGAGGTCTCTTTCTCGACATTTTCTTTCGAACTCGAGAATTTCTACCGTCATCTCGTGTGTGTATAGAAAGTCTATAATCTGCGAAGCGATCGAATCTCTCGGAGCTAAATGGCGGAGATTTTCTCCGACTCGACTATTTTATTCCCGATAAACCGACACGATCGCGACACGTTCTACTTGCGTGTTTATCATCGGCCGTGTGTGCCATCGTGGCTCGTCCCGAAAACGTGGAAAACGGCCGAGATCCACCCGGAGGTTCCGGTGAATTTCCCGGTGACGCAAAAACGCATGAGAAATCTCGCTTACCTCTCCGTCGTCGTTATTGTCGTTGTCGTCGTCGTCGTTCCAATGCCCTCTTAGTCTCGCGCGCTGCGTAGATCCACATGACAACCGATGGGCGATTTCGACGTGCTGGCCCACCGCAGGGGAAACCGCAAAAACGCACGCACGCACGAGCCGCACGCACGGAACACGCGCGCGGAAACGGTCTTTTCGAACGAGCGCGCGGACTGCGAGGACGTGACAGCGATCGTTAAACGCCGTCTCGCGGATTGCCGCTTACCCGGCGGAGCGCGCGTTCTCAACGAGCTCCGTTCAAAAAACTATACCTCGACCGAGATAGCGCCACCGACGTGACCGGACTAGAGTGCCTCTAGTCGGAGTTAGAACAAATGATGATTCCTGATTGGCCAGCATCCTGCCGCCATTTTTCAGGATGACGTGCTGGAAGCACTGAAATATATACTACCTGGAACGCGCGCTACCTCTTGAGTATTGCGGGATGAGAGAGAGCATGCTTGTAGGTCTAGAACAGCGCTCTATCTTTGTCTAGTACAGTCTGAACCAAAAGCTAAGTCGGCTGATTTCTAAACATAAGCTGAATCTCCGAATTAGGAACCATCTTTGCTTTGTTTTTCTTAATAATAAATCGATAAGTGAATACTAATAAATGAAAAAAATATATATTTTCTTATATCAAATTTTCGTTCATAAGCTTAAGTCATTGCCATTCAATGGTCACTGCTTTTCATATCATCTCTAACTTTGATTCTATCACATTCTCCCCACTCTTGACTATACTATGAATCAGACAAGGATAAGAGAAGAAACAAGGAACCTCTCTCTCATCCCGCAATACTCAAAAGGCAGCGCGCGTTTTAGGTAGTATATATTTCAGTGAGAGAAATTCTAGTAGGAGTAAGAAAAATATATTAGGTCTGTTCCTCTTAGCTGAACTGCCTAAACTAGGTGCACGTATGCATTAACAAAATATATTTGTCTCACTCTAATTTATTGTACCAGTTCAGATAGTTTAACTAAAAAGAACAGACCTTTTGAGAAATGAAGTATGCTGCAGCTTTTTTCTCATTCATTCATGATCTGTTCTCTTCCATTGCACTCCCTGCTCTAACTTGTACTAGTATATCCTTTCTCCCAACTTCTTTCTTTAAACAAGATTTATCTTTATCTATTTCTTTTTAAGTTCCAAAAGTGTACACTAGATGAGAAAAAAAGAACAGAACTTCTTCCTCCTACAAATAGGCTGCGTCCCGAAATTCACTGCCAGTACTGAAAATCTATAGTTCATGTCACGTATACTATTGAATTTTAGCACTGGCAGTGAATTTCGGAATGCAGCCATAGTGGACAGTGCCCTAACTTTGACTTGAGAAATTTTATACCGGTTACGCTGCTTTCATAGAATTAAAACCTTATAGAAGTGTGATATTTTGAATCATTAGTAAAACGAATACGATATTGTAATGTCAGGCGGGAATTAACATTGCTATGCATTCTGATTATGCAAGATGTGTTAAATGAAAATATCGACGTCAATTATCGCGATTACGTGAATTTTGAATAATAGAAATTTATCAATAAATACCATTGTATATCATGTATTTCTGCTGCAGTTTCCACTGCATTCTCTGTATTCTTTTGGGATCCTTTTTCTCTTGTTTTACCACCAACGCCTATAATTAATGTTCAAATCGATTTTATTAAGAAGGTTGGCTAGAAAGAGAGATAAATATACCATCGAAGTTAGTTAAGAATTAACATTAAGAAAGGACAACGTAAGGAATTATGAATTTGAGTTAGTCTTCATATTTACAAAATAAACGTTACGTTAAGTGTTACGTAACGTTAATTCTTAACTATATTTATAAAAAAACTACACTTATAAAAGAAATAATTATGTACAATAAAAGCAGCACATTCAATGTGCCTTCTTCACGCTTGCAGTACTGGTCTTTCGTGTTTGCCTTCCAATGAGTCGTTGACAGATGCGTAACCAGTGCCTCCCTATAACACAATAAACAGAAAATATTCTCAGTTGTTTATGCTAATCTTGTTTATGCTAATCTTGTTTAAGCAATATCATGATATAATATAATTACCCTTTGTAAAGGAATGATGTCAGATGGCTTCAATTTGGAATTGTCCAGAGGGTTGATCCAATCCTTTTTTATTAACTTCTCTACACATTCCATAGTAACCACATCACCACTGTAAAAAATATTTAAATAACACGATATAACCTCTTTAACTTAATATTCAAACTTTAAAAATAATCTCCAAAAATAGTCACTCTTACCTTGTTTTTATCACAGCACAGGGAATGTTATTACCCAAAACATCATGTGTGATGGGACACATGTATCGTGCTTGTTTAACAATAAGCGATCTCTTATCATCAGGATCAGTAACTTCTGTGAATTTTATAGAAATTAACTCCTTCATTTTCAATGGATTTCCACTAACTGGACAATAAATAGTGCCATCAGGTTTTTGTAAGGGGGCTTCCTTTGCTTCTGGTGTCTTGGAAGGTATCCAAAAGCTCGGTAATACTTTGTCTCTACCATTTGTCATATTAGACACTGAAGCTTTGTCGCTTGTGTTGGAGCTACTCAGACGATTAGCAATGTCTTGCCTACCATTAAGGTAATCCTGTAATACCTTCAACTCTTCTTTAGCAGTTTGCTCCTGTTGCAAAATTAAACAACAATGTCAATAACATTGCACAACTTTATTTAACTTCTTCAGAGATAAATGAGGAGAAAATAATTTAAAGTGACAAATGACAATCCTATCACATCAATCATATCATGTTATTTTCTCTTTTTGTGCATAATTTTTTGGTAAATATGTATTCGTAGTACTATTCATTATATTTTTGTAAGCAATATTTGAATTAAAAAAAACTGGATATCTGAACATATACGTTAGTATATGTTTGGTTAGGTTAGGTTGGGTTAGTGAAATATAAATTGTTTACCTTTTCTTGTTGCATCTGCTTCTCATATTCTTTTAGTTTCCTTGCATATTCTCTCTTTTTGGTCAGGATATACTCTAGTATTGCTTCTTTGTCAAATAAATAGCCATGTTTCCTGCAATGAGAACATGAGTTAAGTCAGCGGCACATAGTACTTGTTTTATGCTGGATTGCTTGCTGGATGGAAATACTCTGTTTTGATTAGTGTATTTCCATACACTAATCAACTATTTTATACATATCGATTTTGTAACGCCTGATAATGAGTGTAAATATAAACTACAACTACAACTATATAGTTATTCAGAGCATTATCATATTTCATATTCTTTTAATTTCCAATAATTACTTATGAAATAAAATCGTAATCGTAATAAGTGACAAAATCGTCTAATATATACTGTATACGTACGTTATAACCGGATTTCTGCAGGGTTGTAGCGTCAAGCAGCAACAATCAAAATCCTTGATGGAATCTTTGCCCACGCGCTGGGTATTCGTACCATAACCTGACGCTGTCGCATCTTTCTTCTTTTCGTGATACGTGTAGACTGCACCCGCAGTACAATTCCTTGCGTGTCGCGTCATTTTGCTGCTGACTATTCACACAAGATAATACTCTTCCTTCGTGAGAATAGTATACTCCTTTCCTTAGGAATAAGAATCTTCGTCTTACGAAACTGTAAAGCCTGATCTATAATATGCTCTTTGCAAGACTTCAAGACTTCAATGGCTGGATGCACCTAACTTATATGTTCTTTGCTTCCTGCTTCTTTCCATTGGTTGCATTCCGTTATTTACTGCAAGTACTGTCAGTACTACCAACAGCGTTCCTAAGGCTGCGTTCCGATATTCACTACCAATACTGAAACAGTACAGTTCATGTCGCGTACACTATAGATTTTCAGTACTGGCAGCGAATATCGGAACGCAGCCTAAATAGGTTACAGCACTGCGAAAGCACTTCGACAAGTTTGTGACGTCATGAATTTTGATGTCACTTCCTGCTACAGCTACTGCAGCTGGAGAGGTAAAGCAGTGGCAGTAAGATGGTGCGTTCCTATTTGTCACCTTGCAGCACCTCGACAGTGCTCGAAGTTAAAACGGAACGCTACTAGCAGTATACTTTCATGACGTCATAGTGTCAGTACTCGCAGTAAATAAAGGAACGCACCCTTTATTTACTGCGAGTACTGACGCTATGACGTCATGAAAGTATACTGCTAGTACGGTGCGTTCTCACTTAGCGCATCACGCATCGCATCGTCCGTCGCGGACCAATCAAATAGTCCCATTTAATTGCCTAACTTTATGACAAATAAAATTGGACGATTTGATTGGTCCGCGAAAGACAACGCGACGCGTGATACGCTAAGTGGGAACGCATCTGTAGCGTTATGTTTAACTTCGAGCACTGTCGAGGTGCAAATGGGAACGCACCACCTTAAGCTAGCCACACACACTTTTCGTAACAGTAATCGTAAAGGCCAAATCACACTAGCGATTGGCGATTGACGATTGACAATTAAAGATTAGATTTTAACGAATCAACAAGCTTCAGCCTTGGCTTGCTTTGTTCCAATTGGTCAAGTTCCAATCTTCAATCGTCAATCATTTATCGCCAATCGTTAGTGTGATTTGAGCTTAAGACGTAACGTAAGAATTGACCAATTACGATCGAGTATTCATAAAAATGGCGACCTTATGATTCGACGATTTTCAACATGATTGGTCAATTCTTACGTTACGTTTTACGGAAAGTGCGTGTGGCTAGCTTAACTGCCATTGCTTTATTTCTCCAGTGTTGGGATTCTGTAACTTGTTATTGGAGTTAACGACAGTTTAGTTATCATTCGCGCAGCTTCTCGGTATACAAAAACTGTCGTTAACTCCAATAACGAGTTACAGAATAGGGCTACAGCTGCAGTAATCACAGCAGGAAGTGACATCAAAATTCATGACGTCACAAACTCATCGAAGTACTTTCGCAGTGCACTGTAACCTACTTAGGGCTGCGTTCCAAAACTCTACTCAATGGGTAGAGTAGCATTTAATTGACTAATAAAAACAAAAATAACTAGAATTTCTTTATCATGTGTGGTCAATTAAATGTACTTTACTCACCAAGTAGAAACGAAAAATTCAAAAAGAACGCATAAAATATAAAAAAGCGTAGCTCAAAAAAATAGACTATAATTATTATTATGTATATAACAAAATAAAGAATATATTTTTCTTCTAGGAATAGAATAGACATTTTGAGACATTTAGCATAATACAATTAATTAAAAAATATTAAAAGTTCGTAAAGCATTAAATGGACATCTTTCAATGATTTATTTTTCAATTAATCATTTTTTTAATAATTCATAATCAAGAATCTAGAAATTTCTAATACATTATGCAATATATTCCAGTAGTAGCTTAAACACTTGACTATGTAACCTTCTCACCATTATAGTGATATTATAGTTTTATGAAATATAATGAGAAATAAAACAAGCTTTAATTATCTTTGATTCATCAAAATTACAATCAAAATAATAACTGAAATAAATTGTGGAATTGAGACATCTCAAGATATATACACCTCTTAAAATAATCTTTATCTCATAAATAATTACTGGAAATTAAAAGAATATGAAATATGATAACGTTCTGCATAACTATATATTTGAAAACTGTAGTTTATATTTATAAACACAAACTAGAGTCAATATTGATAGAAATAAATATTTCATTGACAGGATACTGACAGGATACTGACAGGATACATTGATAGAACACTGACAGGGATACTTCGTCAGGACACATTAATAAGAGTCAGTATTTCTCTCATTATCTCTCCTTAATAAAAATATATAAAAATAGTACAAAAATCACGTCCACATTTTTTATCACATATCACTCAATACATTCACAAGACACAGAGTTTATATATAGTTCCTAAGTTTGTGATTTATGTTGTGTCATTCTCTGACGAACTGTCCTTTCTGTGCTTCTTACGTTTTTTATGTTTTGAGTTCTTCTTTTTCTTTTTATGCTTGTGTTTCTTCTTTTTCTCCTCCTCTTTCTCGCTGGATGTCTCGGATTCACTGCTATCGCTGCTTTCTGATTTATCACGCTTCTTACGTTTTTTCTTAGCTTCCTTTTTCACTTTTCGTTTCCTCTTGGCCTCTTTTAACTTCCCCTTCAGTTCACGCTCACGCAACTCCGTCAATGGGGTAACATAGTTCTCGTCACTGTCTGAGCTCGTACTACTTACATCCAAAACAATCTCTTTGTTGGGATCAATTTTGATGAAATTGCGACACTGATAGGTTAAGTGTCCGGCATAGCCGCACTTTTTGCAGGCCGGTCGCACGTGCTCCTTGTTCTGAGGGATTAATCTCGCAAGGAATTCAGGATCCATATTTCTAAAAGTAAAATAGACAATCATTATATAATTAATGGAACGTGAAGCACATGTATAAATATATAACAAACGTACGATGTAGCTATCGTCGCTTCTTGCGTTGGAGAAATGAGCAGTTCAGTGTGCTACGATAATCAACCTTACGATTAAACAAAAATATAGTAAAAAATAGCGAGTCAGAATATATTCGTAATATATTCTTTCAGAATAGATTAATAATCGAGTAATATTCCTGAATAATCATTAACAGATATCCTTGAAGACAAATTGCAATGAGTCTGATAAATCTAAATATATAGACCTAATTGTCTCCACTTATGCACGCAACAAATTCTCTGAGATTGACATTATTTAAGTAACTTTAATTTCTCACACGGTCCGTGTGCGGATCGTAAGTGAGAAAGGACTTTTTGTCATGTATAAACGCACACTTTTTCGTGAACGAACATAAGGCTCATTATTGCGTACCTATGACAACCGAATTTGTACTTTATAGGAAAGGACATGGATTTTGTCTCCGCAAAACAAAAAGAAGAAAGGAACGAATGTTGTAAGAGTTCGAGCTTGTATTTCGTATCGCGTCAAGTGGCCACAGCGTGCGCAAAATCATCCTTGGCAAACTACTTATTACAAAAAGTCGAAATGCTGATATAAGATTTAAGAGTGAGTCATGTACATGACACATACACATGCATACCATATAGCATAGCGTATTCTCATCCACTTACTCAAAGGGCGCCTAGCGAACCATCGCGATGGTTCTAGATTCACAGAAAATGGCGCGACTTCCGACGACTACGCTGGTAGCGTGAGCGAAGTTTCAAGTCGACACGATGAGGCAAGTGTTTTCGGCGATTGAGGCCGCGACTCGCATTGTTAATTAACGCGTGAAATTTTGCATAAAGAGATTTGTGACGACGACTGTTCCTCGATGTGTTGACCCATCCGGAAGAGTGATCTTGATAGAACGTTCCAGAAACCGGATGGGCTTCCTTTCGAGAAGCTTCCAGAATTTTTAGCGGGGTATAAAAGCGATCGTCGCGCCCCGTCCACCCTAATCCTCAAAGTAACAGCGCGAGAGGTGGTTCGTCCGCCGTCCGAGCGATTTTCTTGAACGTCTCTTAAGTTTGCAATTGCGAGATCAAATCGCAAATTTAGCGTGCGAGCAATTCGTGTTTGATTGTGCTTTTATTTAGTGAAATAATACAACTTTGAGAATATGCCCGAAGACGTGAGCATGTCCGAAACCGGTGAGGTGGAGACCTTCGCCTTTCAGGCCGAGATCGCTCAGTTGATGAGCTTGATCATCAACACTTTTTACTCCAACAAGGAAATCTTCATCCGAGAATTGATTTCTAACGCATCTGATGTAAGTAGGTCTAGGTATTCATGAAAAACGAGTATTTTGTCGCTCTCCGTTCTTATCATGGCCGTTATTTCACTTTTGTAACATGATAGCGTTTGTCTGATTTCGTGTTTTATTTAATTAAATATTTGCGTATATATGCATTTGTGTCACCTATCTATTCACTGGCTAAATGTTTTTTAAGGATTAATTAAGGAAAGTTACATAAAATTAATTAAAACATTTCTTTTACAAAGCGTTCTTTTACTAGCGTTCATGATTTGCTATTAATTTTTTAAGTGTGGATGATAACTTATTCTTTATTATCCAAAGAAAATATTTTCTTCAATTTTTTATATTTTCTTTTCTCATGTTGTTTACTGAGTAACATGTATATGTTTTTATATCAGAGTTTTATATTTCTCTTTGCATTTTTTTAAATATTTTTTAGTCATATTTTATATTATAATATAGTAAATATAATATATAGTTAATAATACAGTAATATTTTTGTTGAACTATCTAGGCATTGGACAAGATCCGATATGAATCTCTCACAGATCCAGCCAAGCTGGATACATGCAAGGAACTATTTATCAAGATCATCCCAAACAAGAACGATCGCACTCTAACAATTCTTGATTCGTAAGTATCATAATCTACTATAAAAATTACATATAAGATGAATGTGCCAATATGATTAAAACATTAATAAATTTATATTTAATATTTCTGAAAAAAAGCTTTTAAAACATTTTGTTGAAAGATATTATTCTATATGCCAATTTGTATTATTAATGATTGTTCAATTCGAGTTTGTATTATTTGATAAATAAAATATGTTTGGAAAAGTACATATACTTAATAAAAATATAAAACTGACTACTTTCTTATTAGTTTATTGAGATATTTACCTTAAATAATAGATATTAATATAATAGTTGTAATTAATTAAAATTTTTTTTATTTTAATAGTGGCATTGGCATGACCAAGGCTGATCTTGTAAACAACCTGGGTACCATCGCCAAGTCTGGTACGAAAGCATTCATGGAGGCTCTGCAGGCTGGAGCTGATATTTCTATGATTGGACAGTTTGGTGTTGGTTTCTACTCAGCGTATCTTGTTGCTGATAAGGTCATCGTAATCTCGAAGCACAACGACGACGAGCAGTACCTTTGGGAGTCTTCCGCTGGTGGTTCGTTCACAGTACGTCCTGACAATGGCGAGCCAATTGGACGAGGCACCAAAATCGTTCTTCATATCAAAGAAGATCAAACTGAATATCTGGAAGAGTCAAAGATCAAGGAAATAGTCAAGAAGCATTCGCAGTTCATTGGCTATCCCATCAAGCTCGTCGTTGAGAAGGAGCGCGATAAGGAATTGAGCGAGGACGAGGAGGAAGAGCCAGCGAAGGAGGAGGAGACTGAAGATGAAAAGCCCAAGATTGAGGATGTCGGTGAAGATGAGGAGGAGGACAAACCCAAGGATGAAAAGAAAAAGAAGAAGAAGACGATCAAAGAAAAGTATACTGAGGATGAAGAGCTGAATAAGACCAAGCCGATCTGGACAAGGAATCCGGACGACATTACTCAGGAGGAATATGGCGAATTCTACAAGAGCCTAACCAATGATTGGGAAGATCATTTAGCGGTGAAACACTTCTCGGTGGAAGGTCAGTTGGAATTTAGAGCCCTTCTCTTCATTCCTCGTCGCGCGCCTTTCGATTTGTTCGAGAACAAGAAAAGGAAGAACAATATTAAATTGTACGTTCGACGTGTCTTCATCATGGACAACTGCGAAGACTTGATCCCAGAATACCTGAACTTCATCAAGGGTGTTGTGGACAGCGAAGATTTGCCCCTGAACATCTCTCGTGAGATGCTGCAACAAAACAAGATTTTGAAAGTTATCAGGAAAAATCTTGTGAAGAAGTGCCTGGAGCTGTTCGAAGAATTGTCTGAAGACAAGGAGAACTATAAGAAATGCTACGAGCAGTTCAGCAAGAATCTGAAGCTCGGCATCCACGAGGACAGCCAGAACAGGAAGAAGTTGTCGGAGTTGTTACGTTACCACACCTCCGCGTCCGGCGATGAGATGTGCTCGCTCAAGGACTACGTCGGTAGAATGAAGGAAAACCAAAAGCACGTCTATTACATTACCGGCGAGAGCAGGGAACAGGTAGCGAACAGCTCGTTCGTTGAGCGTGTCAAGAAGCGCGGTTTCGAGGTCGTATATATGACCGAACCGATCGACGAATACGTCGTGCAGCAACTGAAGGAGTTCGATGGTAAGCAGTTGGTGTCCGTCACGAAGGAAGGCCTTGAGCTTCCAGAGGACGAGGAAGAGAAGAAGAAGCGAGAGGAGGACAAAACCAAGTTCGAAAGTCTCTGCAAGGTCATGAAGGACATCCTGGACAAGAAGGTCGAGAAGGTGGTGGTGTCCAACAGGTTGGTCGATTCGCCTTGCTGCATCGTCACTTCGCAGTACGGCTGGACGGCAAACATGGAGAGGATCATGAAGGCGCAGGCACTTCGCGATACATCCACCATGGGTTACATGGCCGCGAAGAAGCACCTGGAAATCAATCCGGACCATCCTATTATGGAGAACCTGCGGCAGAAGGCGGAAGCGGATAAGCACGACAAGTCTGTTAAAGATTTGGTAATGCTGCTGTTCGAGACCGCCCTGCTCTCGTCCGGCTTTGCGCTCGAGGACCCACAGGTGCACGCTTCCAGGATATATAGAATGATCAAGCTTGGCCTGGGCTTCGATGACGATGATGCGCCGAGCGCCGAAGACGAGAAGATGGACACGGAAGTACCGCCGTTAGAGGATGACGCGGAGGAGGTATCGAGGATGGAAGAAGTAGATTAAGCATTTTACGAGCCGCCGTAACAAAACTTCTATCGAATCCAAAGACTTCGTAGACGATAGAAACAGCAAAGACTGTAATTAAATTCGTCGGGTGTATTTTGTTTTTAATTTTAAGTTAGTTTTGTGAATATTTGTGTTTTTCACTCGATCTTCCCGCCTGTTCTCATCGCGCTCACGCAGGATATTGCTTACTTAGAGACACACGAGCTATTAATGATTAACACATGATCTCTCTAGTTACATTGCGAATGCAAATAGCGTGCATGTCGAGTTAACGTACCTTCAAAGACCTTCATACCAAGGAATTTCGTCGCTTGAATTCTTCATCGGACATGCATTCTCTCGTATCCTTCACATTCTCGAATTCATTTTATAGCGCGAACATTGCAGTTTTTTTGTACTTTTGCGTATTTACAATTTAATATTTCTCACTTCATCATTCCATTGCATAAATTATCTCTTACATAAGATTGTAAGTTTTACGCGCAATAAAATATCGTTATAAATTAATACACTGTGTTGATGGAGAAAATTTGGAGACAGACACCAACCAAACGTAGATGATTGTGCAAGTAGATTCAATTAAATTTCGTTTTCTAACTTAATTTCACTTCAAATTTCTAAAAAAATGTCATTTAAAAAAGATCTTTGATACAATTGACAGCATAAGAATATGTATTAGTATTATTATTCTGTGTTTGGTTTGTATGACTTTTAACTTGTCCTCTTAGTTTATTAATCTTTTCTAATTTTCCTCTTTTCCAAACCTTTTCCATAATGTCTGGTTTCTCTTCAAACTATCTTTTTAGTCAGATATACTTGCTGATTTTTTATCCATAAAGAAATAGTTTATACTTGCAGAACATACAGCAATTAATTTGAAATATGGTGATTTTAGTGGATTAATAAAAATTAAATATTTTCAGTGACTTTGGGTCTCTTGACCCTCTTTCCTAATATATTTAGAATAATTGTTATTTAGCACAATTTGTTATAGAATAAAAATTTCTAAAAAATAATAAAACACTAAATGTTTTATTGTGTATAATCTTTATTGTTATCATAATAAAATTATCTCTATAATTACCTCATTAGAGTAAAAAAGATAAAAGTCAGAAGAGTGCAGTTAGATGAAATAAGCATTGTTGTACAAGTCTGCTCACTATAGTTACAATTATTGCATTTTATGCAGTTTATTACTTTCTTCCCCTTCAGTCCTCGTATAAATCTATTGCAGTTAATGCAAGATATGCAAATAAAAGAGCAAGAAAGAAATCCAAATCCCGTGAAATGTTCTCTAACGTGAAAAAGGGAACTTTTTTTCTCGTAAAAAGGGAACATTTTCTAATTAAAGGTATGTAAGTATTTATTTTTTATAAGTTCACACAATAAAGAAAAAAAGATTTATGATCAACCTTAGTAATTAACTGCTCCTTTTGGTTGTACATTCTTTTTCCTATACTTTGTTTTCGAGTAAAATGACATCATGATTACAGAAAGAGAGAACATGGATGTGTATATATCTGAGAAAAAGGTAAGAACAATATTCGCAAGTGTGAAAAATGCAACCGCATTAAAGACGCAGACCTTTGACCCTCTGCAGTTTGTTCTTACGGCACCCCTTTTATCCGCGCATCGCGCAGGCGAAACCGGAGCGCATAGAGTGCGACACCGTGGCGCGTGGCGTCGTGTCGCGTGTTGCCACATCACCACCAAATCAAACGAAATTCGGACGATGTTCTCTGTGTAGATCGCGCTCGTGCCGGCCACTCTATCGATACGTGGAAAGCGTGCGTGCGTGCGGTGCCTCTCTCCCGTCGTGTACCGCATACAACCAACATGTCAACTTACTCCTGAGTTCCGCCACGCGATTAATACACACACGAGGCATTTCTAATTCAACCAAGTTCGAGCGCCGGCACGAACCGATCCGAGAACCGTGTGCGGGTCGTACAAACGGGCGCGCATATACCGTCGTAACCGCGATTCATACGTCTGACGATTCACGACCAGTTATCGTACCGTGAGCACCATGAGCGCAAATCAGGCACCAGTGAAATTGAGAAATGGAGTGGTGAAACAGGTAAGGATTTGATGCCGCTCGAGTTACGAATGAGAATCACGCGACTCGACCGCGCGACACACTCATTAGCGATTCCCGTGGACGTCGTTTAATTAGCACCGTGTGGATTCGATGTTGATTCCTCGCTGCTCACCCAGCTGGCAGGAAGCAGGCTGGAGAACATATGGTTACGGACTGCGGTTTCGTCATTACGACGATCCTCCATGTGCTCGCGAATGGTCGCGCTACATGTTCGTTATATCGACAAAAATGCAAACGTATTTACGTAATTTCTTCGTGGCGACTTTCCTACTTGCAGTATCCACTCGTTGATCACCTTTTGCAAAAGCTCGTTAGAGATAAGGAAAGTTGTATGAAAAGTATTAGCAACTGCGTAATAAATATCTTGATTTGAGATGTCGCACAGCATTGGATACAGTGAGGTACAATGTGAAATTTTTATTTTGAAGGTGACATCTGGAGACACTGTTGTTATCCGTGGACAGCCTATGGGAGGTCCTCCACCTGAAATAACAGTCACTCTGTGCAATATCACTGCTCCAAAATTGGAACGTTGGAAAGGAAACGACAGGTGTGTGTAAACCTGATAACTTTAATACCAATATTTTATATTACAATATTGTTACTTGTGATCTTCTTCTGATTGCCTTTAAAATTTTAATAATAACTATTTAATTTTGTAAATAATTTACAGTTTTGTTAAAACATAATCTTTAATATATGAGATAAAATAAATTGTATTTGTAGCACGGATGAGACAAAAGATGAACTGTACGCATGGGAAGCCAGAGAATTCTTACGCAGAAAACTCATTGGTCAAGATGTCACCTTTGCCACTGAGAAGTCTGTTAACACAGCCAGGACGTATGGCACTGTCTGGCTAGGAAAAGGTACTTATTGTTTGTTGAAAAAATCATGAAAAATTTTACACATTCAACATATATCATCATCTTGCAGACAGGAATGGCGAGAACGTGATCGAGACTTTAGTGTCTGAAGGTCTGGTGACTGTAAAAAAAGATAATCGTAATCCTACTGCAGAGCAGACGCGGTTGATCGAATTGGAGAACATGGCAAAAGCCGCGAAGAAAGGGAAATGGGCTGATTCACCAGCTTCCGAGCATATAAGAGATATCAAGTGGACTGTCGATGATCCTCGGAAATTGGTCGAGAAGTTTGGCAAGAAACCGATCAAAGCTGTAATCGAGTTCGTCTTCGATGGTTCTACTGTCAAGGCTTTCCTCTTGCCTGATTTTTACAACATAACATTAATGATTTCGGGTGTTCGCTGCCCAGGCTGGCCGAATGGACGCCGTGAGAATTCTGTAGGCGATCCTTATGCGGACGAAGCCAGATATTTCGTGGAATCGCGACTCTTACATAGGGACGTCGAGATAGTGCTGGAGTCGGTCAACAATAACAATTTCATCGGCAGCATTATTCATCCCAAGGGTGAGTCGATGTCATAGTAAACAAATTTGATAAGCGAATATCACTATTCACCGAATGACGCATCGCATATATTCAAAATCTTATTTCTTTTTGAAGAATTTTTTGAACTAATATACTGGTACAATAAGTTAAAATAAAAAAAAAATACAGGATGTCACCGTAATGATATTCATTATGTGTTTAGTTCTAGATGCAATTAATCAGTTTTTAAGGTTTTATTATGAATAATGTTACACATTAAACATTCTGTTTATTTTACTTTAACTTATTGCACTATTGTAAGTCAGTTCAAGAAGCTCTTTAGGAAAAAACTTATTAAGTTTACACATGAATGTACTAAATCTCACATTTTCTGTATTAGGAAACATCGCTGAAATCCTGTTGAGCGAGGGTTTTGCCAAATGCCAGGATTGGTCAATTGTTAACAGCAGATCCGGCGCAGAGAAATTGTATCTGGCTGAGAAAGCCGCGAAGGAAGCACGTTTGCGTTTATGGAAAGACTACAAACCATCTGGTCCACAGATCGAATTTACCGGTACCGTCGTCGAGATTATTAACGCAGATGCGCTCATTATCCGGACGCAAAATGGCGACAACAAGAAGGTATTTCTGAGCAGTATTCGACCTCCCTCTCGAGAGAAGAAAAATATCGAGGACAGCAATAATACTGCTCGACCGAAAGACTTCAGACCTCTCTACGATATACCGTGGATGTTAGAAGCGCGAGAGTTCTTGCGCGAGAAATTCATCAGGAAGAACGTAAAAGTGGTGGTTGATTATACTCAGCCGGCTAGAGACAATTTCCCAGAGAAATTGTGTTGCACGGTTACCTGCGGTAAAACGTAAGTACTTCAGTCTCCGCGAAATTCTTCAGATTTTTATCAAGACTAGATTCTTGTCTACTATCAAGATTCTTAGTTTCGCAGCAGTAGGATCAAAAGCTGTAAATTAATCATTTTTCATTCTACTTTCACGCCGATAGGAATATCGCAGAGGCATTAGTTGCACGAGGCCTGGCGCGAGTGATCAAGTACAGACAAAACGATGACCAGCGTTCTTCGCATTATAATCTCCTGCAAGTCGCTGAGAGTAAAGCGGAAAAGTCGCAACACGGGCTGCATGCAAAGAAGGACATTCCAGTTCACAGAATAGTGGATCTCTCGAACGATCCCTCGAAGGCGAAGGCGTTCTTGACATCTCTCAAGCGTGCACAGGGAATCAGAGCTGTCGTGGAGTTTGTAACGAGCGGCTCGCGTCTGAAACTCTTTCTTCCAAAGGAAGACTATGTTATCACGTTTGTGTTGGCTGGAATAAGAACTCCGCGCTGTCAGAGAACATTGCCTGGCGGCGGGGTAGTGAAGGCCGACGAATATGGCGAGAAAGCTCTAGCCTTCACTAAGGAGCACTGCTTCCAACGGGACGTAGAGATTAAGATCGAGAACACAGAAACGAAATTGAGCGGTTTCATCGGTTGGTTAACTGTGAACGACATCAATATGTCCGTTGCTCTGGTTGAGGAAGGTCTCGCCGAAGTGGTAAATTTCCAAGATTCTGGCGAGCTTACGAGGACCCTTAAAGCCGCGGAGGAACGCGCGAAAACGAAGATGCTGAATGTAAGACATAATATACACGCTGCATATTTATCAAATAACGCATATCACTGTATAAATTCACAATGTATAATTTCGCGTTACAGATTTGGAAGAACCGCGTGGAAGCGCCGGTCGAGAGCGACAAGATCGTGGACGAGAAGGAAGGACAGGAGCGGAAGATCGACTATCAGAAGGTAGTGATTTCCGAAGTTACTGACGATCTTCACTTCTATGCTCAGAGCGTCGATCAAGGGAGCATGCTGGAAAACTTAATGCTGCAGCTGCGCCAAGAACTGGCGGCCAATCCGCCGCTTATTGGCGGTTATAAGCCGACTAGAGGCGATTTGGCGGTCGCGAGATTCACAGGCGATGATCAGTGGTATCGCGTGAAAACAGAAAAGGTTTCCGGCACTAACGTTAGCGTGTTCTACATCGATTACGGTAATAGGGAAACCGTCCACGTTACGCGAGTCGCCGATTTGCCCGCGCGCTTCGCGACCGACAAACCGTATGCCCACGAGTATGGGCTCGCGTGCGTGACACTTCCGAGCGACGTAAGTAATGACAATCCTTGCACGATCCACTTTTCGAAAGACGTTTCTAGTTCACATATCATTATTCTTATAGACCGACGACAAGAGGGCGGCGGTAAAGGCATTCAAGGAAGATGTATTGGACGAAATTCTGCTTCTGAATGTAGAATACAAACTGAGTAATAATGTGACTGCTGTTACGCTGGCACATGCCAACACAAACTACGATATCGGAAAGGGACTGATTTCTGATGGATTTGTGCATGTTCAGAAGCATCGGGACAGGAGGCTGACGAAATTGGTCAGTCTATTTTATCATCAGATTGCTGTAACAAGTTTTATTATCTAGGATAGTAAACGGTAGAATGATAATATGTATACCGTTTGGGTTGTCGCAGTTTTATATATGTGCGTAATATGTTTACAGATCGAGGAATACAAGAAGGCTGAAGAAGAGGCGAAGAATAATCATCGCAACATTTGGATGTACGGAGATGTACGGCCGGAGGACGACGACAAGGAATTCGGATTGTAACTGAATTAAGTGCTCAAACATGGAATTAAGCATAATCGATAACCAGGGAAAAACAAGACGTGGAAAGGTGGAAGAATAGGCGTGTTAAAAGCAAACGATTACATAAGAATTATTATGATGAATTATGCTACATAGGTGATTAAGAATGGTGAGTGTCGATGCGAGAGCTACATGTTGCACACATTAGACGCAATACAATTATATATTTCAATATATAAAGAGAATTGTACATAACGATTTTAATTTCTGTAATACAATGAATATAAAACGTGCACGCGGAATAGTACTCGAAACGAGACTACGCGACATAGACATTACATGTATTCTCATCGACATGAACATTCGTTATTACTCGGTGCCACAAATGCAAATTGTTTGGTGACCCGACACTCTTGACCTGTACGAAGCCCTCAATGTGCAATTCAATGTGTCAATCATACTAGATATATTAATTATTTGCTTTTCCTATATATTGGATGAACAATAATCATGTTATTAATGCGTGCTACTTTTCAAGTTTTTACATGGGTGATGATAGCTATAGGATTTGTAATCGCGAATTTAATCAGAGGCACTGGTAGTTAAACGCGGAAATAGGGAGAACGTTCATATCAAGCAGAGAGTATCGGGATATTTTCAATCAAAGCTATACAATGGCACAGTTTCATCCGGTATAAAGGTTTCCATCCCTAAGTATGAGTGTGTGTGCGTGCGTGTGTGCGGATAATATAATGCATAATACAAGCATGATACAATGGGGGTACAATAATAATAATGCAAAGGAAAATGCTGTCTGCTGTGTCAAAGGATATGCCGTCTTTATTGTGACTCTACCGTCTTTTTTCCGACGAATTTCACGTTATACGCGTGTATGTTGTATTCGTAACAAGTTTGATATTAATGTACTTACAAGAAATTATTTATGCAGTTATACAGATCTGTCTTACGAATTGCATTACAATTATGAAATTTAAATGTTCAGGATTTATTTGCGATGAACAAATGTTATCTATCGTGTGTTCGGGTGAAGTAAACTCACAGTTGTTATACGATATGAGAAAACAAGAAACGCAGTAGCATTATGATGCCAAGTACATAAAAAACTACATTATTCTGTGCACCGAAGAATAAGTCCGTATATTTGTTTCGGTAGATTCAGCATTATAATTAACTGTAATTTTAATTAACGATCTTTATACCATATATATTGTATCCAAAATTGTTTCCTACTTCTTCCTTTAAACGTTTTGCGACTAAAAGCTTTTACTTGCAGTACTTTGTTGACATTATATCACATCTCATTGACACAATTTACCGACGTAATTTTGTAAGTAAAGTATCGGATAAACCTATAATTGCATTATCCTATTGGATAATCGATACATTATATGTGTACACACATTGTAGGATCAAAAAAAGAATAAATAAGAAAGACTTGTTTTAATTACTTATAAATGGTGTTATATGATTTTTTTTTTCAAGATTCCCAAGAATTCCTATTGCTTCTTAAGTGCAATTCTCATACATTATTGTTATATAACACCATTACAATATCTTACATTACAAAATAGATGTTTGTCTTATGTAATAATTCAGTACATATAATCATGATAAAAATATAGTAACATACATTAAGTATATTAAAACAATTATCGTCAAGATAGATACAAATAGATTTTGAAATTAAATACAATTCCTCTTACAAATTCATTGATGTATTGAGTCGTCCCATAAATTCGTGTCATTTTATTTAGTTTTTTTTTCAAAAAAATAAATTATTAAATGTATTCTTTCTTTTTCCTAAAATTCGATGTCTTTCTATATTGTTTTTGAAAAAATAGAAAAATATAAAACATAGATATGGATTAAAAATAGCACAAATTTATTGGATAACCTAACATTATCTTAAATTAATAGAAAAAGGAAGATCCATGAAAGTCTTGTTAATATAACTACTGTGTGAATATCGACTTGTGCTACTTATTGTCGTTAAATGATACTGTACGTTTAATTACATTATCATCCAAAGCACATGAGAATAAGTCATCTTTATACCACGCTAACCCTCGTACAAAGTCAGTGTGCTCATTATCTTCCATTATCACTTGTACATCTTTAGAAACATGTAATACTTTTACAGACGTGTTATCAAAGCAGCAAGCTAACAGATCTTTCCTAGAAAGTAAGAAACATAAGTAGTCACGAATTCATAATATATCAAAAGTTACAATGGAAATAAGTAAAAACATACTTTTCAAATAAAACCATACCTTATTGGATTAAATAACACCTTCCATACACTTCTATTGTCCACAGTGAGCTCAAATACTGGCTCATTTGGTTGTCTAATATCTATTAATGCAATCACACCACAATCTTCACCTATGGCAAGATACTGATCCATAACAGGATTCCAGGATATCGAAGAACACTTCTGTTTTCTATCAAGAATACCTAGAAAAATCAAAGAATTCAATATACCTGTAGCAAACTTGGAAAGTTGAAATAAATGAAGAAAACTTATAAATTAAATGTTCTAATACATACAGTGTGCTGGTTCAGATTTCCTAATGTCCCACATTAATGCATCACCATGTAGAGAAGTAGATGCAAATACAGAATTACACATAGGTTTTACATCTGTCCCAGTGATACAGTTCACATGTGCAAAACTATACGAATGTGTCGCAATTAAACTTTCCACATCCCAAATTTTAATACTGCAACAAATATAAATATGATACTTTGCCTTTATGGTGGGACTTAAAATACCTCAAAATTAACTTACCAACAATCTAATCCACCTGTGACTATGCTTTTACTATCAGAAAATGCAGATACTGTGTAGACACTGTCGTCATGATAACAAGCACTATTCAAGGATTGAAGCTCTAGTGTCTGAGGTTTACCTGTTGCCTGAACAATTTGAAATATTTCTACAGCACCCTTATCCCCTACGACGACGAATTTATCTTGTGTAAGGAAAGTAGCATCTCCACAACCATCATATGTTTCTTCTATTACAGCAGCGTTTTTTTTATTAAAATCTGAAGTGTTATCGTAGTATCTGAGAGAACCATTCCAGTTAATACTGCTTATCTCAATAGATCCGAGAAGAGCTTTTTGTTCTGTAATAAAAGACAATATGTAAAAACTGAAGAAATGCAGAAATTGATTTCTATATCTTACCATGTTCGATTAGTATAAATTGCGGATAACTTTTAATAATACGCGATGTTGACAATTCATTGAACATTTTTTTGGGTACATCAACTAAATCATAGCCGTTCATTTCTATCATTTTTCCTTATTGCCTCGCACCTATAATTTATTGTAAGCTTCTAAATCGTAAAGATGCGGGAAATAAACAGGTTTATTTACAGTATACAACTACAAATTGTACTTTTTACTTAAACTTTCTGTACTAGTGTAGCAAAGGTACAATAAGCGTTCATATATCACACAGAAAAAGTGTATAGCCTATAATAAAGTTCATTTATAATACACAAAATAAAAAATTGTAACATTAAATATTAATAAAAAGATATTAGTATTATAAATATATAAATAGAATATAATAGGTTGAAATATATAACGCGTAAAAAATAGAACTATAGTTCATATTACGTATACTATAGTTTTTTACTAAATATCGTATGCGATATATTTTCGAGAATCAGAGAGAGGGAGAGAAAGGATCCTGAGACAAGAATACATTACAAAATATTTTACCTATGTTCAAGTGTTTTATTAAATTTATATTAATTCGCAAGATCTTAATTAAAAAATATTCGAATATCAGCTTTTACATCGACATTGGATACGTTCAGCAGGACACAACAGTTGCATAAATATTTAAATTTTTTGTTGAACAGTACGAAACACACTCAGCAGTATATTAAACCCATTATTTCTGCAAGGTATTGCTCAATATAGATGTTGTTTGTAACCATCATTACTTCAATTTTACTCGTTAAAGAAAGTGGCGGCTCGTAGCGAAGATTCATCCTTTTGCAGGATTCACACTGCGTCCGATGTCCGACGTACATACGACATCCGATATCCAATAAAAGAATAGTTTTCCAATGGAGAATTGAATTCTATACTAAAAAGCTGTTCTTCTATTGGATATCGGACATCGTACGTCGGACATCGGACGCGGTATGAATCCTGCATAAGATTGAGATTGAATTAAAAATTGGCCAATCAAAGAAAAGTTCACTAAACTTGAGCTTAGTGAATTTTGCTCTGATTGGCTAAATTTCAATTCAATCTCAATCCTAATCTATAGTCTAATACGGGCTCAGGGAGTCGATTGTATATCTCAAAAGCTACGTTCCAAAACTCTACTCGACGGGTAGAGTAGCATTTAATTGACCAATAAAAACAAAAATAACTAGAATTTCTTTATCGTGATTGGTCAATTAAATATACTCTACCCATCGAGTAGAATTTTGGAACGCAGCCAAAATGGAGTGAAAATGAAAAAAGTGAGCAAATGTACTAGAATATTTGTAACTTCATTGGTCAATGCCTAGTGAATTTGCTCACTTTTGTAATTTTCACTTTGTTTCGAAATACACAATTCGCCCCAGTACCTTCAACCAGTACTCTTTTTTTATACACCTTATATATTTAAATAAATAAAAAAACGAAGTCGTGATACTACTCGATAATAAGTCTGACGCACTTTGTAAGTAGAATTCAACAGCGTGGGGGGTCATCCTTTTAATTTACGCGAAGATACATTTTCAATTAAAGGAATAATTTCAGTATAACTGTAATCATCTTTATTTTGCGCATTTTAGGTACAGAATTAACTTCACTGTATATATACAAAATTATACTATTATCAAATGTACTGTTCTTTCTTGTATTATTAAAAAATATATGCATAAACATCAGACAACTATGCATTGGTTATAGGCTTTTGTATTAATCAATTTTAAAATCGTCCTCATCCTTCCGTCCGATCCTACGTCAAACGTTCGCGGGAAGGCTGTACCTGGAGGTCTACTGTATACGCGCTGCATAATCTGCTCCCATTTAACGGGCGAGATAATCTGTTTTGGCAAATGCTGCTTAATCAATCTTGAATTGCTGTAAGCACATCCCTTGTAATTGGAATAGATTTGACACCTAGGTTCGTCTATTTGTAATGTATTGAGCATCTTGCAGAAGGATTTGAGCGCAGGTTCCATTAATTTCGTGTGGAACGCTCCTGACACAGGTAACCTGGTCAAGTTTCTCAGACCGTATTTTTTTCCATTCTTTTCTATGTATTCGAGGGTCTCTATATTCCCAGCCAATATCTTCGATTGTGTGCACAAATAAATTGCTACTCTGTGTGAAAGAAATTAATTTTTTGAATACAACAATTAATGCCATTGATGCTGACTTATATAACTCTGAGTCTTCAATAAATGTAGTAAGCATTTAGCCTTATACTCTAAGGCCTATAATATCAGGCAAAATGCATTTTTTTGCACAACTTTAACAGTTGGAATCTGGCCAACTCACTTAGAGATTATGATTTCAGGTAGCAATGGGAAAAGTTTTTAACTGGAAATTGCACCAGACTTTAGACTTAGAACATAACGCTAAAGGCTTACTGCATCTATTGTAGGTTCAAGCATCAATAAATTATATGAAAAGTTATATGAAAAATCAATATCAGTTGTTTCAAGATTCAGTATCAGTACCCATACAGCATAAATACCTAAAGGACATCTAAAGAATTAAAGATGTCTGAAAGATATCCTACTTGCTTTAAATGTTTTTTAAATATTCCTAAAATATATCTGAAATATTTATGTTGTTTGGGTTGTATAAAAATTAGTATCATATAAAAATCTCATCTTTAATCAGGTGAACTTTATAAGTTATACAGAATTTACAGAATAGAACAATTGTGAGAAATATATGTTAAATACTTACTGACAAGTTGGATTGTCTATACCTATATCCAGTGCCCACTTCTTCGCATCTTCACAGGCCTGGTATAGTTTAGCCTCTGCAGTACAAAAGACTGACAGCATTCCCTGAGGTGTTTTACTAGAAGCGTACTCCATTGCGGCACCTCTTACAGAGACTAACCTGAGGCCATCCTCAAAGGACAATACGCCTGAGAAGATCAAAGAAGTCAGTTCACCTATGCTGTAGCCAACGGCAGTTTTGCAAGTCTCAAACACCCGAGGTCTTTCCTCACGCAGTTTCTCCAGTGCAGCTAATGAAAACACTACCGTGGCTGGCTGATTGAAGCGAGTTTCATCCAATTTATTTTGAGGACCTTTTAAGCATAAGTCCAGCAGATTGTAGTTAAGAATCTCATTGGCTATCTCAAATAATTCTTTGGCTTGTGGAAAACGCAGGTAGTTTTTCACCCAGCCGACCTTGAGGATGCCTTGTCCAGGAAACAATATGACACAGGTGTCCAAAGGGTCAATTTTTGGTGTCGCGACTTTTTCGGCTTCTATAGAGAGTGGAACACCAGCGGGATAAGGACTCGTCGACCAGCTGGTATCCTTGGCGTCACTGTAAGTGGCGGCTTCTTTCACCAGGCGAGCAACATTATCCTCACCTGTAGGTATCGCCTCGTAATCGCTTGTGGCGGATTCGTTCTGCGATTCGTTCGCGTTCGACGTAACGTCGCTGTCCTTTGCTGCAGAAGAATCGGAAAACTTGGTTATGCGGCACCAGGTTAACAAATGAGATCGACAAAGCGCTGTTTTACTCGACAATATTCGTTGATACATCGTTACTGACGAGAACATGATGGCATTCTGCGTCAGAGTGAATTTATGCCTTTGCCGGCAGTTTCTTTAATTTTTCCCGCTTATTTGTCAAGTGCCGACTACTACTCAACATCTGCTGTGATTGTTAGTTTGAAGTTTTTTTTTGTTTTATATCTGTTTTTTTTTTATGCAGAATAGTACTTCTATTTTACTAATTTTCCTTTCTTGTTTTACTTTTCTATATCGATTTCCGTGGAAACTTTCAGAGATAATCGTAGCTAACGATTTTAACTAAATTTAAAAGTTAGGTTGCTAATGCATGTTTTTCGCCATGAAGTATGCGAGTGATATAGGCTAAGTCCGTCTCGCATGTTTCGTGCATTAGGGCCATCACATACAAAATTACATAGACGCATATGCATAGCATAAGATCATATGGACCAATGAGCATTGAATATTAAGTCGCCATATTGATGATTGATACTTAATATTCGATGCTCATTGGTCCATACTATCTTATGCTATGCATATGCGCTATGTAATTTTGTGTGTGATGGCCTTTATTCTGGGTGCGTTCCGTTTCCACGCATGATGCGCATGAAACGCAGCGTTAGAGTGGCAGAGATACGAGAGTGAGATAAAAAGAGAGAGAGAGCTCTCGGGTGAGGTTGTCGAACTTAGATTAGATTAGTTCTCGAACGCATGAGATCGCATAGACTGCACTACCTCGGAGCTGATGCAGTTTATGCGTTCGAGAACTAATCTAATCTAAGTTCGACAACCTCACCCGAGAGCTCTCTCTCTCTTTTTATCTCACTCTCGTATCTCTGCCACTCTAACGCTGCGCTTCATGCGCATTATGCGTGGAAACGGAACGCACCCTCTATCTTCCCTCGATATGTAATGAGCGATAAAGATAGAATGATACTTTCAGCACGAAACTTACGAAACAAACTTAATCACAATTGTTTATTGATTTGTTAGCTAATAAAATATTCGAGATACGCTTAGATGCATAATCACGAAAAATTAGTCAAACAAAACGCATCTATAAATTATACTTTGCATCTAGTTTTGCAATAGCTGCAAAAATATGAAGAATTATATTATTTCCTAGCAAGCCGATTTTTTAACTGTTTATAACAACGATTACTAACATGGTATAGTTGCGCAGTTTTTCTATCATGTATTACATCTGTGCAATAAAAACGTAATGTTAACGACATTATCGTTAAAAGTTACACAGTTGGCTCACAGGAAATGCGTTTTCTTCTCTGAAAACGACAAAGTGTCTGCAGCAATGACGATCGACGTTAAAGTTGTGCGAAGATTATCATGCTTTCGAAGCACCTTCGTTGAAAATTGGCACACAATCAGCCCCACGTAGTTGCAAATAGACATTTCAAGTTCATATGTGTCCGAATATCACACCCCGTGCGATTTATAGTAAGTAAATCAGGGTATCATGTCAATGATATTGTTATAAGATTATACTGTGTCATTATAACAGTTTGAATCTTTGATTCTAGTACCTATCGATATTTATCCCTCCTTCCCTCCTTCAAGAGGTTACAGTTGCATTTCAATGTCAATGTGTTCATGAAGTAGCGCAAGGACGAACGTTGAAGCACACATGTCGTGCATGCAGTAGCGGATCGAGACACTTCCACATCTAAAAATCGTGAAACATCCTGTTCATACATATTTGTGTGCAATTTATTTGCATTCACTATGAAGCAGAAAATGATGCAAACCCTAGTCAAGCAATTTGTATTGTTTCTTATTTTGTCACAAACTTAATTTTGTCATAATATTATTATGATAATATTATCATGGTAACAATGTTATTTATGAAATAACTATTACGATCTCACACATCTACCAGTAATAACATTATATTAATGTTATAGTTTTATTCAACAGAGTAGATATAACATATATGTAACAGTCATATTGTTACAGTAAAAAATTGATGTAATGTTACTTTTAGCTAGCATTTATATATTGGCATAATATTATATATATCAAATTTATATTGCATATATAATTTTCTCATGAGGAGTATATTAAAATCATTATGATAATATTATCATAATAATAACGATATCTATGATAATGGAAGATAATGTTATGATAATTATATATGTTAATTTATGATAATTTTTATGATCACAATAATAATTAACTAGTAACAATATTACATTAATATTACATTAATATTATAGTTTTCCATTCAACAATGCAAATGCAATATAAAATGCATATAAGTTACATCACTGAGTGAGAAATTATAACACTAATGCAATGTTGCTGTTTCTGTTTATTGGCATAACATCGTTGATTGTTCCTAATTTGCTGGTTCATTTTAGAGTCGCGTCAGTCTCTGAGAATACTAAACGGATGATCCATCACTGCGTATCATGCACGCGTTGGAATCACCGACGCACGTGCGTGTAATGCGGGAGGAGAGGAGCCGCGCGCCAATGATTACTGCTGATCACGTGCCAAATTGCCACCTCCTTGCGAGCGAGGGGCACGCACCTTTGAAGGGATGAGCAGTCTCGTGCGGGGGACGGCAGGTGTTGCGTGCTAAAATAAAAGCGAAACAACGCAACGCGGGAGTGGCGAGTCCGCGGCGCGCAGAAGGGTAGCTTTTGTTCGCAGTACGTGCGAGCGCATCGAAGAGCAGGTATCGTGTCGCAGGTATCGAATCATAGGTTGTCGAAGTCGTGAACGATTGTTCGGATGCATCAGCGAGGGTGGAACGATATCCTCGGTTCCTGTCATTCTTGTAAAATCTCCCACCGTGACTGAATTTGAAGATTCCGGCAACTTGGATCGCACTTTCGAAGTTGAACTGCGCGTGCGGTACAGAAGATATTTTTCGCGTAAAAAGAAATTACATCTTGGAAATTCTGTGGGTCACTTGAAAAAGAAACTAACACTGTAACGCATTGTAAAGACCTTTACCTGACTTACAAAATTGTAAATTTACAAAATTACAATGTTATATGCAAGAGGTGTCATAAAAATAGCGATGTTTCTCTTAGCATGTTCCGGAAATTATTATTTGTTTCATTTTTTTAGCTAATGAAGAAATTGTAACTTAAAAGATGCTACAGACGATACTAACGATATATTAGCTACAGACGAAAGTTGCTAAGTTATTCAGACTAATTACTCGCTCAGGCGCGCAAACTTAGGGTCAGCTAAGGACGTCGGAGCGTTTGGAGATTGTCACTGCATTTAGTTTCGCCACAAATACCAGTTGATACCTCAGCCAAGCGGTTTGTTGATGACCTGTTTCTTCACGCGATATATATACGTCACGAATCGGCTAATTATATCCCATTGAAAATTAAATTAACCGAAACGTTCGATTGGGTTCGTATGCACTCGTGGAACACGATACTTGCAAAACGGCATAAGTAAAGTGTTTGATGTTGAAATTATAAACTGACAGGCGTCACGAAGAGAGACAAATTGATGAGAGAATGATTTCTCCTGGCTACTCATCGTGACTATCTTGATTTATGACGACAGAAGCGAGAAAATGCATGCCCAAAATTCCTGCAAGGTACGTCAAAATAAAAAGATATATTAAAAAAATGTCACATGCAACTTTATTGATTATTAGTGCGAAAGGAAAATGTTTGGTGTGTCATTTTCGACGTACTTTGCAGGAATTTTGGACATGCATTTCCTCGCTTCCAACATCATTAATCGAGAATTCCGCGGCGAGTAGTCAGGAGTCTTAATTACTTGCTAAACATTATTTCATAGCGTGACTCGTTTATAGGCTCTAAATCGAGGTGAGTACGTATCGAAACCACCATGTGGAATGATGAATCTGCGCCGTGGGATCTCGAAGAGCCCACACCCGAAGCAGCTGTCGAGGGTGCGGCAGAGGGTGCACCCGCCGAAGGAGCCGCTCCTGAGAAACCGGCTTTAAAATTGGAGAAGATCGAGCCTCCCCATTACAACCATCACTGGGTTCGACCGCTGTTCCTCAACTATGCATATCTTTATGACTACAGGTGAGCTCGTAATAAACGAATAGTCAGAACTCAATGAATTAGAACCGAGTAATTACAAAAGAGCGCTATGCGATTAAATAACTGACTCTCAAGACCTGATCAGTAAATAATCTTTGCTCAATCTAACAGGCAGAATTACTATAACGACGTGATCGACTACCTCAACCAAAGGCAGAAGGGCATATACCGCGAGCCGCCTAGGGCTCAGGAGTGGGCGGAGAGGGCCATAAGGACCTACGATCAGAAGAACGAGGACAGGAGCTTTAAGCGTTCGGCCGACATGAAGTACATCACCAACATGAGACTCACGTCCAGACACTACAGCTACCATACTCGCGCCTACTACAGCTTGAAGTATCAGAAGATTCTGTGAACTCACCGCTTCGTTATAGGCCGCATTACCGTTCTCCTTCATTTTTTTCGTCAGGTATAACGATACGCATTGCATATTTGTATATTCATTCGGCATAATATGTATGTTTGTTGTTGGTGACCCGCCTTGTAAAATACACCAATATTTTCAGCGTCAAGAATCGCTTCTGCGCACCTACCACGTTATCATATATGATAAAATATACTTTCAATGTTCGATAATCAATTTTACTTGAGCGAAAACTTTTAGGGAAAGTTAGAGAATGTAGATTTTTACCTGTTGTCGCGAATCCTCCAATTATCTTCCCTGATTTTATTCAGTACTTGATAATTAAATACATAGCAATTCATTCCTATTAAGATATATGTTACGGACATTAACGAGATACTCTTTCGCTGAATATAGTTTCAAGAAGATAACGTTGAAACATCTTGTGTATATAATCGTGTGTATAGAGAGAGAGAACATGAAATGCGACTAAACGACACTTCGATTAGTTGACGCAAATACAAGGTGACGCGATTATAATCATTAGAAAATATATCTTCGCGATGTTACGCGCATGGCGACTGTGTGCTTTTTCTCGCCACGACGCCACCGCGGCGACGGCTCTTAAAACGAGACGCTCTTCTTCCTCTTTAAGAATCTCCGTTTCATCGGCTGCATTGCGAGCGACTCCAATGGATCGGCGATCTCACCGGTGTCGATGAGCGAGCTGATCCGGCGCTGTCTTCCGGTCTGCGCTGATTCAACCGCTTCCGGTTTCTCGCGAATCGGCATCTTGATCCACTTAGCCGCGATAGGATTGGTCTTCGGCTTCTCCGGCAACTCCACGTTGGTGATCTTACGCGTTTTGTCGAACTTCTGCGCTAACGACATCGTCTGCTCGTCGTCATCCTGATTGTCGAACTTAGTCGCGTGCCGTTGGAACGCCATCTCCGCGGCCTCCAGCGTGTTCTTAGCCTTCTCGATCTCGGCGTTCAGATCGATCACGTCGAAGATGCGATCCTGCAACGCGTTTACCATTCAGCTCATCATAAATTCATCACTCGCGATAAAATGACACGTCTGTCGCCACTTGGTTATACTCGATTTCGATCATTTCGTTTAATTGAACCTGCATATCCCGCCTCTTGCGTCTCAATTCCGCCATATCCTCCTCGAATGCGGCAGCCGCGCGTTCCTTGAACCGCCGGTGAGTCATCACGAAATCGTCCTCGTAGGGATTCTCTTGAACTGGTCGACCGCGCCCGTCTAATAGGATGTCCAGGTCTTCGTAGGAATCGTCGCGATTTCCCGACAGGTTGCGAGAGCCTAAAATGTTAGTAGGGTCGCGTTAAGATTGTTATACTGTTGAACTGCGAATATTAATCCTGCGTCTATCTTGGCTGCATCTTTGAGTCAACGATAAGAAATGGGATTCATACTTGTCAATTTTATTCGCGCTGTAAAATTAATTCTTATCTTTGACTAATAGGAATTCTTGTTACATACGGAAAATGTCAGGAAAACATAAAGATACACAACGATTGAGGATAATGCAGGGCAATCCAGGGTAATACGTAACGTCACACGATACATACCAGTATATTCCAAAAAGAGAAATTTCAAACAAGATTTATTCATATATAAGAAAGGAGGAATACATGTAGACAGACATGTAGACAGACATATGAATTTGGCAAAAGTTTTGCGAATTCGGGCCTTCTCTCGAAAACCTGTGACAGCTTGATAGCGCATTACAGAATTTGTTCCCGAATAGTAAAAGATAATTCTCTGAAATAAAAATAGTAATATTGTCGGGGTAGATGCGACAGAACGCGATTTTTGTGTTTCCTTAATTTAACATTGCGTTAATAATTTCACGCGACAATGTTTTCGATGCGTCTGAACGTAACTCTCGTTCATTAGGAACAATCAACACTTAAGCTCCCACGAATTACATTCGCGGAGCGGAAAAGCAAAAAAAATTATATCACAATGCGAGGTGTATTGCTCGAAAGTACATTCTGTCTTGAGCAATGTAGTTGAAGCAATGTCGTGCGACCAAATCGACTCGCCGTCAATTGAAACTGATTCAAATTGAAAGAAAATTTATAGAATTTAATTGTGCAGTTGAAAAAGTAGAATAATGGAGAGTAATCCAACTTTCAGCAGTCGGAAATTCAGAGTCTATGGAATGCACTTCCGAATGATGCGCCTCGCATTAACATACTGATACATTCGTATTTGTAGAATCACGCGAAACGAACATACACACGTCACATTGTAAATACGCGAGATAAATTATCAGATTAACACAGTGCTATTCATTAACTGAGTCGACGTGTGTTCCTTTCGCGACGACAAATCAGCGGTAATGTGATTGTGCGACTGCCAGAAACGCACAGTTGCCGCGTGATATATCGAAAAAAAATCTACAGACAATATCGACATACAATATCGAGGTACGACAGTGTCTTACAACGTCGGCTCACGATTATCATATCATATTGCGATATTATATTGCAGGCCGCGATTGCAGACTGAACTGATTTCATCGATTACCTCGAATTCGTCGTCAGTACATAAAAAAGAGCGATCAGAGATTTCTCGTTTTTTAAAGCTCAAAAAACCGGTCACAAGTTTTCTCCTGTGATATGTAAGAATTGGGAGGGGCGGCACATATCACGTAATGAGTAATGAAACCGAGTAAACTCGTGATTAGTTTTTTGTGTTTTGGCTTTGAAAAACGAGAAAACTTCGGTCTCTTGCATTTCATTTTGAAAAAATCTCATGACTGTCTTTTGTGTTTTAACAAGGGGTTATCATTGAACGACACTGAAACACGACTGCACCCGGACCCAGTCGCCTTCAGTCTCCAAACGCGACGGCAACGCATTGGCTGTAAGACACCGTCGTGAAAATGATCAGAGAGGCGAGACAGGGATCTCTCGTGTGATTCTCCCGTCGTCTAGAAGTTGACGTGCTTCTCCGCGCGCTCGGTGCCCTGCACGCTGCGCATCGATACTTTCTTGCTGCTGATCGTTGACTGCTGAACGACGTCGTCGGCCACGGCCGCGCTCTCGTTCACCAACGCCCTGAGAGCGGCTGCTCTGCGTTCCCTCTTGGCTTGCCTGTCGGCGAGCTGCTCCATCTCCGACTCGAGGTCATGAAGACGCGCCTTCGTCTGCATAGCCCTACTGGCGGCGGCACTGGTCGGTACCAGTTCGTCGTCTTCGTTGATCAGTTTAGACCATCTACTGAACGCGGGCTTGCTTTCGTCTGCGCGCTCCATCTCGTCGAACAGTCTTGAGCGTCTCTTGAAGCCGCTCTCAACTTCTTCAATCGCTGTTTTGGCGCCTTTCCGCGCAGTCACCGCGCTCTCTAGGAGATCAGCGGCACTCCTCCTGGACTGACTTGCGGCGGTCGAGGCCTCGAGCTCGTCTTCGAGTCCCATCGCCGCCACCCGGGCTCGAAAACGGCGCGTCGTCGCCGCTACATCCTCTGCGAAATCGTCTCCCAGCAGCCTGCGGCGTGTGCGTTGACCACGGCTGTCGTAGACGGTGTCCTCGTCGTCGGGGGGTAGCAAAGGGTCGGTAAGGGGTGGTAGTTGGGAAGCGCGGTTACGGGAATCGAATTCGAGTTCAGGGTCGCGGCCGGTGCGGGGAGCGGAGAGGTCGCGCGTGCCTGCCGACATCAGAAAAGAGAGCGTTGATTTATGCGTAGAGGCTGCAGGACAATAATGGGCGAGATGATGACGACGATGATAATAGTCATCGTCATGAGTCGTAGTTGCGTCAACGATTTTGGGTGAAGGATGAATGTCGGTGAGAGATGACGGTGGATGATTGGCGTGAGGAGAAGAGGGAGAACCTCGCGAGGTCGCAACTCGATCGAGCCGGTGGTAAAGTCGCACGACTTGCCAATGTATCGCCTGCTCCGTCGCTATCGATGTATCTCTGTATACACGAAAGTATGAAAAACTACGCTTAAAATATAACGAAATATAACCAGTGATGGTAGCGTAGGAGGAGGCATGAAAAAATAATACCTCACTTGAAAAGTTTTCAATCAAAATGCTTCACATTGTGTGACAGAACAAAAAATGGTTCAGCAGTCATAATGAAAGTTACATAGATATAAGAAATCAGCTATATAAGATGGATAAATAACTAGAGACTCTAGGATGAGTAAACACTATGATATCTCGCATATTTTGTATTTCATCAATATAGATACAAATTTAGAATTCTACCTGGACTAGTAAAATATTTTCTTGAATCAGAGAGAAATCGAGTTATGTAAATTCTTTCTCTTTCTTTTTGTAAGCAAATTTAATTTTTCGCGAGATTAAGGGCTTCAGCACTGGTTATAATTGAACGTACAGAGAACTGACAGAACGCTATATAGATATTGCTCGTGAAATTTCGCACGAGGCCGAAGTGGCCGTTCGCGAGTGCGCGACGATTACATTTCACGTTTCTCTACTTACAACGACTGGACTCATCAGCCAAGTAAACTTTATAACGCGGCTTGCGAGTATATATTTTTAGATTTTCCTTCCGATCAAAAATAAATTCGAATGCGCGTCGTATTAACAATCTGGCACATCTACAAAATCCCATCGACGCGGCCGACTGCGCTATTAAACTGTGTAGTTGCTAGCGACGTCAAGCACACGACGCTCATCCCCCGCGTTCCACCACCTACGACGTTAGGGGAGAACGTTTCGGATAAGTGACAGCGCGTTCGCTTCTTGTTTTTTTTTTTTTTTTTTTT